CATGTACATATGTGAAAATATTTAGATATGAGGTTAGGGAAATAGACCTATGTGCCTATATTTATAGATTTAGTATTAAGGTAGCAGAAGGACATTGGGCCTCTACTCAAGTACTCCCTCGACGCAAGTTCCTATGATTTTTTGTTGAAATTCACCACTTTTTGTTAATAGGTAGCCTTTTCTGACTGAATTCAGATGTCCCTGGTAAATTAATTTTAAGTTAATATTAGTATTTTAGCAACCCTGGTGGCAGAGTGAGTTAAATGTTTGACTGCTAAACTTAAAGTCAGCAGTAAAACACACCAGATGCTTTGTGGGAAAGATGAAAGTGTGCTAAAAGAAGTACTTCCATTCTGTTCTATAAGGCCGCTAGGAGTCTGAATCAATTCAATGGCAGTGGGTATTAGTCATAAGCACCTTAGTGTGAATGAGTTGATCAAATAAGTGATTAGATGAACTAGGACATAGGCAAAACACTGATGGAAGGGAAGGATGGATAAAGTAAATCAGAACACTGAGCACAAACCTAGATGAACATTACTGAACAGAAGGAGTGGTCCAAGTTAAACAGTATAGCTGGATACATGTCTTCTCCGCTATAATATAAATGTGGTGCAAGGACTTCAGGGCTGCTTAACAAATAATGTCTTCTATTCTCAACCATTTCCCTAAGAAGGTCAGTAATCTTCTGGTAATATTTTTCTTCCCCTTAAAAAAACAACAGAAGCATTTTAAGAGTAAAATCAATGTTTTAGTAAAGTAACCTGTATCCCAAAATGACCCTAAGAAGTGTAATTCATGCTAATCTAGTAAATAGTAAACATATGTAACATACAAAAGACTTCCATTACACAATTACTTAAAACTATTTCTTGCAACCACAATTCCACAAGTTACACTCAAAGACAAATCATTAAAAAATAAACTGTCTATACATATTCAGTTATCTTTATAAACATATAAGAAGGGAGCCTTGGTGGCATACTGATTACTCACTGACTGCTGACCACAGTCAGCAGTTCAAAACCACCAGCCAATCCTCAGAAACCCACATGACCCCTATGACCAATAGGATTACTATGAGCTGAAAAAGACTCGAAGGCAGTGAGTTTGAGTTTTGAGATGACACGGAAAAAGATGTACTTTACAATGAATGAAAAGGAGCTACACTATTGCTAGCAGCACAGTTAGTTTTGTTGTGGTGATGGTTGCGGTTAGGAGCTGTCCAGTCAGTTCCTCCAGCGACCCTATGTACAACCAAACAAAGCACTGCCTGCTCCTGCACCGTCCCCATTGTTCTTCTGCTTGAGTTCATTGATGTTTTCCACAGGGAAACTTTTCCGCAGAAAACTATCTTTAGGTTTCCATTAACCTTAGAGAGTAAAATCCATTTGGATTTCACCAGCTATTGTTCTCAAAATGTGTTATCATATGGCATGTCTAAAACAACTCCTTCCTCTAATTAAGATAGTACCCTTGGTTGGCTTCTATATTCTTTCAAGGTGAGGAATAATATGTGTCTTCACATATTTTAAGTAGATCATTTTCTTAAAAATATGTTAGAACATTTTGCTAAAAGATGTTTCAAAGCACGCTAGTACTTAAGACTCATGTTTAAATATTACTCATAACTTAGGTCTATTTCCTACAAAATATCTCCATGTAGCTAACAGGCAAGGAAGGCATTGAACAGGTGCTTATAACTACCAAAATGAATCTCCTGCTATTTTCTCAAAAGGTAGAAGAATTGCCTTCACCAACTCTTGGAAGATAGGCTGTGCAGACCTAAGGATGATAAGGCTGGGCACGATTAGGCCAGAATAATCACTTTAAATGTTAATGTCCACACACCTTGTTGTCTTCAACTCCTACTTTGACTAGTGTAAGTAGCTTGACAGTTGTCTTATACCGTAGAATAAGAAATAAAGTGTGGCATGGATTCCATGAAATATACCTAACACTGCTTTACCTCTTTACACTTTGGCCCAAATTTAGTGCACTGTTTTTTTCCATAGGCTCAGAAAGTGCAATGGCCTGTGAAAGGTACCTATCAGTGTCATTCTAGAAGCATGGTAGAAAGCCTCTCAAATAGGCAGATAGATTCACAAAACTTCAGAGGTATTCTTTGGCAATAGTTTAAGAAAGTGGAGCAGTGATTGTCACCTATATGCTGTTTTATGGACTTATAGAAGACATTTTCATCACATTTCATGGGCTTCAGCAAGCTACTTGCCCTGAATAGATGCAGCACGGCATCCTATAGAGCAGTCAAGAATAATTGTATATGAATCTCTGAATTATTCTTAAATAAATCTGATTCATATAGATTAATATGTTATCCATCCTACTTATAACAAAAAATACATTGGAATATAAGCTGTGGTTACTAGGATAAACAGATGCTGCCAGGTAAGCATTTCACTGCTACCCACATAGTTGGCCATTCAGACTCATAGGAAACATGACCATGAACCCCTGAGTGGATTTGAAGCACCAAAGACAGCTAATAGTCTTTTTATATATTAGGTTCACAGAAAAAATTACTAACTCTACTTGAGAACATATGTTTATAACACATCAATGCAATTTTACAATTTAAATTCTAGATACTTGATGACAAATTTTCTACACAAGTTTATCAGAATACTCCAAATAGGTTCTATTATGAAGATATGAATTCCACATATATCTAAGATAGAAGATAACTGAAAAGCTATGAACATTTTCTGAGTACTTGCTTGTGGTTTTGGTTATTGATAATGCATTTTGATATATTTGAACTTTGAACCACATTCAGTTTTTATTAAAAAATATTTTAGCATAATTCTGTTGAATTTGTATGGTTGTTCACTAAGAACTTGGCATGGAGTTGGATGCTATCATGCAAATCCTGTCTTGAAATCCGTCTTCTGAACTCATTAGTAGTAAAGTAGTATATGACTGGGTCAAGGCAGGAGTTCAGACTAGCAAGACACAGAGCCACAGAATGAAACATCAGAATTACTCTTCTGGCTAGGCAACTTTCAATTTTGTTGGACTTGACCAAGAAATCTAAAGGAAAACTGAAATGATAAGGTCCAAAGCAAATTAGAAATACCCCTGCACAGGTTAGAATCATCTTCAGGGCTTTCTTTTTCTCTCCAAGGTCTTGGGCCACAGGATATTGATTTTGCAGTGATGAAACTGTCTTCCAGGTGCAATACAGAACAATCAGAAGAGGAGTAATAAACCCAATCAACTCTCCTACAGCCATCATGGAAACAGACTGAGCCAGATTGACATTCTTGGTAGGAAGATCCACAAAGCATTTGGTTCTGTTGCGTGGGGTGTCAAAACTAGTTCTGAGAAGAGGGAAGAGCAGACAGACAAGGCAGATAATCAGCCAGCCAGCAATGCTGATGTAAAGGTCATATTTCTGTTTGTAGTCATTGAAGCGAAAGGGGTACATGAGAAAACAAAATCGCCTCACACTGATGCAGACCAAGAAATAGATGCTTGCATACATGTTAACGTACTTCAGGTAGAAACAGAACATACATAGTCCAGTCCCAAATGGCCAGTCATGATTCAAGTAATAAAAGACCCTCAGTGGCAAGGATAGAATTTGTAGTAAGTCGGCAATGGCTAAATTTATCATGAATATCACAGCCCGTTTGGTTTCTTTCATATAGCCATAAAATACCCACAAGGCCAATATGTTTCCTATGAGACCTGGTACAAGAATGATGGAATATGTCACTGCATAGATGAAATACCGAAAATCTGTGTTTTCTACACTTGACTCACTACATGTGTCATTAGCAAGCATGTTTCTTTCTAGAGTAACTGCTTTTGCCAAATGGGAGTTAGGCATCAAAATTCACAGCCAACTATCACTTTCTCTAGGAGAGAGCGATTTGGAGAGAATGTGTGTAAAATAACTTCCTTTTACCAAATCTGCTGAACCTGTGTGCATGATTTGAAAGGACTTTTCAAAGAATTATTTGCATATTTACTTTCGATTTGTCAACAGTACCTATATAGTATAGAGATCTAGTTATACAGTGGTTAAGTGCTAGCTAGGCTGCTAACCAAAGGCTGCGATTCAAACCCACTAGTTGCTCCATGGGAGAAATGCATAGCAATCTGCTTCAGCAAAGATTATAGACTTGGAGACCTTAGGGATGTTCTGCTCTGTCCTATAGCTGAGTTAAAATACACTCAACAGCATTTTTTAAAACTTCATAGAAGACAATTTTGCAAGCATAGATGACAAGCTGTTACAACTTTTGCCTCTTGTGTTCTCTATTATAAGGTCTTCTGGGACATGATGAGAATTGATCCTCTCTCATTTGGATCATGGATGTGCAGCTCCTCAAATCCCCATATGATGATAGTTGTCTTTTCTTTCTTTCTTTTTAACTGGGCAGGTTGCTTTTCTTTTTGGACTTATGTCGAAGAAAGGTTTGATTTAGTGCACAAAGGATCCACCATTCTTCAGGGATGATTAAGTTGGCTAGATCAGCTTTCTGAGACTTTTTCAGTCATGTGTCAAAAGATGAAACGTGGGGAACAACGGCAGAGCTGAAAGTGAAAGAAAACAAGCCAGTTATTATTATGCTCAAAAGTAAGATGCTTTTATCTAGAAAACCATATTATTTTGAATAGAAAGCTCTGAAATAAATGAGAGTATTGTGCTACAGGTTATATAAGGAACTCTAACATCACAGGAAGTACAGATAAAAGGAACCTGGTGGTATAGAGGGCTACACATTGAGCTGCTAGCCATAAGGTCAATGGTTTTAACTTATCAGTTAGTTGTTCCATGGAAGAAAGGTGAGGCTATCTGCTCACATAACGAATTCAAGCCTCTGAAACCCACAGGGAGGTCCTACTCTATCCCATGGAGTTGCTGAGTCAGAATCCACTCACTGGCAGGGAGTTTGGTTTGTTCTCTGGAAGAGGTAAGCTAACCCTTTGCTGCAGTGAGTGAAAAGTGCACAATACGGCACTGTGAACCAGAAACATTAGTATTACTTGGGAGCTTGTTAGAAATTCATAGGAATCTCAGAAGTCACGTACCCCTGTGGTTTTATGGGATTCTTATGTAATGTTTGAGATGATCAGAAGATCTGATCTAGACCATGGATTCATAAACTTCACTGATGATCAGCTTCTTCATGGGAGGTTAAAAACATAAAAACAGCTACCTGGGTGTCTCCTTCAAAAATTCTGATTCATTATTATTGGGTTAGAACTCCACATTTGTATGTTTTAAAAGCTCCTCAGATGATTCTGGTATAGCCAGCCCAACTTTTGTCCTTGAACTGTCCTTTGGGGACCAGTTATTTACTCCAAATCCTTCCCAGATGTCTGAAAATAAATTGGCTTTTCTTTAAATACTTCCAGTTACATGGGTCATATAGTCACATCCCAACTATCAAATGTAACAGAACATAGCACAAGTACAGAGAATAAAAATTGCCCAAAAGTTGACTCAGCTGGGTCCATGACCTTTATTCTGAAGTAACGAAATCTTAGCTTAGGAACCAGAAGGTTTTAACTAAATTTTAAGATATATGGGAAGAAAAAATTTAAAATGAGAATCATGAAACATTATGCTTTGGCTCTATAAATCCATGTGATTTGGAGTGTGCTTACTTCAATTCCTGAAGTAATTGTTGTAGTTATTGTTCTGTGTCACTTTCCTGGTAGGTAAAATAGCATGTTTAGTTCAAAGATATGATGCACACATTTTATTTTTAAAAGCTTGATGAATGGTACGAGCTCTCGTGGTTCCGTGTTGGACTGTGATCTGCAAGGTCACTAGTTTGAAACCACCAGATGCTCTGTGGGAGAAAGAAAGGGCCTTTATACTCCCATTAACAGTTACAGTCGGGAAAATGGACAAGGGGAAGCTATATCGTGTCTTATAGGCTTGCTATGAGTCAGTATCAACTCTATGGCAGTAGGTTTGGTTTGGGGTTCTGATGAACTATGCATTTGGTTGAAATAAGCTAAATGTTTGAGATTTCCCAGATAAGAAAAATGTAGAGAAATGGGATACATGGAAGCACAATGATAAAGGATATAGTATATAAAGAAATTTTAAAATAGAGTTTGTCTGCCCTGGTGTTTTAGTGAATTGGGCTGCTAACTGCAAGGTCAGTAGTTTGAACCCATCAGTTAGTTGTGAGAGTGAGAAAGATGAGGTTTTCTGCTCCTGTAAAAATGTACAGTCTTGGAAACCCTAAAGAAAAGAGTTCTGTTCTGTCCTACCATGAATCAGAATCAACTCAATGCAGTGTTTTGATTTTTTAACTGTCTATATTAAAATGATTGCCTGCTAATTCCAATTTTATGCATTATATGTTTATAAATATATGTCCAGTCAATCTCTATTAAATCTTCACCTCTTATATAATGGTCAGTGATTCAAATTTATATCACTACATCTCATGGGGGCTGCCTCTCTCTTTCCAAACATAGAGTCTCTTTCCTTGACCATTTCATCATCATCTCAAATTTTGACATATGAAGGTGAAGTCATCCTTTATACTTAAAAAATGTTATTCGTTTGATCCTGTCATCTGCTTTCTAAAAAACATCCCCAATGACTTTTCATTTCACTCAGGAAAAGTCAAAGTCCTTATAATGTACGGTGGGGTCTTACACAACCTGGCTCCCAGTTACTCTTCTGACCTAATCTCCCAAGACTCTCCTTTTTGTCCATTTTTTTCTAGTCCGTTTTGCCATTCTAGTTGTTCTGTGAAAATACCAAGCTCAGTCCTACCTCCAAATTTTTGCACCTCCTGTTTTCTGTATCTGCAATGCTCTGTTTCAATTATTTACTCGGTTTGCTTCCTCAGCTTCTTCAAGCCTTTACTTGAATGTCACCTTTTAATGAATCTTTCTCTGTCTTTCCTTGCTGAAAATTTGGCTCTCCCCGATATGCTTCATCTCCATTCTATCTTTTCTATGTATTTACATTGTGTGAAAATATATATTTTCCCCTTACTAGAATGTAAACTTCATGAGGATAGGTATTCTTATGTGTTTTGCTTACTTATTACACGTCCAAAGCCAAGGATTGTGCCAGACATAGAGTAAATGCTCAGTATTTGTTGAATGAAATAATTTCAGTAACAAATATTAATTCACCACAAAATCTGCATATAGAAAGCCAATGATATTATTGCATCTCTCAACTTTAAACTAGATTCAACTCCAGACTTATTTTGTTGCTGTTCATTTCATCACTATTTTCCCACATACCCAGTCTCAAAGTCTTAGGGAAACATTTACCCCCTCTTACTCGTCACATTCAAACAAATACCAAGCTATTTCCACCACTGCAAAAGGCTTATGTTTAAGATTTAGAAATATTCCTTTATGTAATCGCTGCATGACTTTGGGTACTGTAAGGAAATGTACACTTGAAAATGAGATGTCTTCATTCTCCCTGATTAAAATAAAGGAAGGGGCTCTCCTCCTTGTTTTTTCAGATTTCACTGTAGCTAACTTGCAACTGTGAATTCCTTGTCTCTTTGAAAAGCATGTAAAGAGTAGAGGTCTTATAAAAATCTGCAGCTGCCTTATTGAAATGGAACTTCAGGCAAGCTTTACATGCCTTCCTGTTTCCTGCAAGTAAATTAGTATAAACCTAAGTGGCCCAGTCTTATATCTGGGCCAGAATGATTAAAAAGTGAGCAATTATCTTGAAACCACGAACGTAATGGATTGTATCCCCTCAGCTATGTAATGGCTAAGATCTCTTTTCATCCTTTCAGTCACTTCAGCTTACTGCCTGCGAGGTAACACATTCTGGTTTGATGCTTATTCAATAATAAAATTTATCTTTCTTTTATTTTTGTGAAGACAGTTTTCTGGGTTGAGATTGAAACTCTTAGGTTAGTATACCTCTTTCTATTACTCCTTGCATGATTGTTATTCTATTGCTTACACTTCTATTATCTAATTCTTCCATGATGCCATTCCTGGTAATCAACCTTTTTGCAAGACTCTTTGCAAATAATAACCCTGGGCTCCTTGCAGCTCAAACCAGGTCCAAGACTGTGTACAGTCCACATATATGGACTGTTCTCCAACTAACCCTAGAACCAAGAATACTTGGAAAGAAATCCATTATCTGACACATTGTCCTATCCAGACCCATTCTAGAAGAAAGAGGTGCATGTGGAGACATCTGGGAAAACATGACGCCATAGCTGGTCCTGTTTATGAACAGGTTTGGGGCTAGAGGGTAAGGAGGAACTGAAGTCAGAATCCCAGAAGTATAAGACAATAAAAGACTCGGACCCTCTCACTTTAGGACATCTGAGGTATTTTTGTTGTGAGACCCAGTGCTGCTTCTTGTCTATTCAGATAATTAAATTGTTAACCCCATTTATACCTCTATTAAAGTATATATATTTTACTCTAATTTTTTTGTATAGTAATTTATGTGTCTATTTAGGTCCTCACTTCTCATTCTACGTCTATACCATCTCTACCATTACTAGACCAAAAACTTCTAAATGTCAAGAGTTGCATCATAGATGCCTCCATATCTTCTGGAGCTCCAAATTTCATGCTGAGAACATAGTGGGATCATGTAAATTTACTTAAAAGATACTTCTGTGTTCCATATCTACAACTTGCCAGGCACTATGAACTTAATGGAGCCAACTAGAATATTAAAAACATGTGTCCCGAAGAAGAGTGAACTGAGTTGATTGTTCTCCCAAAGTCTACATTTTTTTCCTCTTCATCATTTGGATATTGGCCACAACGTAATGAATTTTCATCTCTATATGCTAGTCTTAAAAT